GCAGGATGCTGGTCACACTGCTCCTGAGTACCAGCCCAAGAGTTGCTTCATGATGTTTGATAGATGGGTATCTCACAAGCCTCTGTGATTTATTAGTCAAAAGGATATATGGATTTTTATAGAAGCTATATGTGTAGAACTGATACTGACAAATTTCAGTTAGTGCTGGAAGTGTCCATATCAGAAGATAGAAAACAAAGTTAGAGCATCTGGTTTAATTAGTTACTGTATACCACTGATCTGTTCGTCCCCAGTTTCAGCAATGGGTTGATTCTTTGTGAGAGATTGTTTAGTATTGAGAGGGTCATCAACGTATTATGAGCCTTTTATGTTGTAACTTGTGAGTATTCTTTATAGAGAGTTTCAGATGCAATTAACCACTATGTACTATTTTCGAGTGAAATTTCGATTCAAATTGTGAATGTCCATGATGCCAGGCACATGACATGTCTTATTAACCAAACTGGAGTCTTTTCAATTGCCTGTCATGTGTGTTTTTCAAGGGCATTTTGGTTAATAAGACATGTCATGTGCCTGGCATCATCGACTGTGGGTTTCCTGTAATCAATTTATTCTTTAACGGGGGTGTTCGGTCGACCGCCCCGGTCGACCGCGATACCTGCACGTGCCTGGCATGTGTGTTTTTCAAGGGCATTCTGGAAAGTTCAATTAAATTTTTATCAGAAATAGGTCCAGGTAATTGCTTACTACTAGAACCTCCTTTGATGTTGTTTTTATATTAATTGAACTTCAAAAAATGTTTCGTGACACCCCCTTATTTTAAAAGTGGTTTCAGTGGAAAAAAAAAATCCTAACTCGTAACGAGCTGCTGAAAACTTTGATGTGGCTATTTGTTCTTCTTTCGGCTCATCAGTACACACGAGAAATACAGCTGCTCAAAACTCGCATATCGCAGTTAGTAAAGGTAAAGAAGTTCCCCTCCATGGATCTGAAGAAATACAGTAAACAGCAAAGGATCAGCCAGAAAGTCTGGCGGTCGACCGTCGCGGTTGACAGCGAATGTGCACGAAGGGCAGTAGGATTCGGAGCTGATGGCGGTCGACCGCGAACGTGCACGAAGGGCAGTAGGATTCGGAGCTGATGGCGGTCGACCGCGGATGACTGTAATCGATTTTTACTCTCGGGTTTATGGTTCGGCCGACCGCCGCGGTCGATCGCGAAACCTGTGCGGTCGACCGCCGCGGTCGACCGCAGTCTGTTTGGGCTGGGCCTTTTGGATTTGAGTTGTATATAACTCAAAACCTGATTGTTTAGGGTAACTCAAGGACGATTTTGAGCAGCCTTGAAGAGAGAATTGTTGCATCCAATTATAGGAGAGTTGTGAGAGATCTAGAGCTTTGTTTTAGGGTTTGATCGGTGAGATTTGTAACTCTATTTGTATTCTCTTGATTTCTTATAATAAGAACTCCCCCCTCCTTGCCCCGTGGACGTAGGCAATTTGCCGAACCATGTAAATCTCTTGTGTTATTTGGTGATTGTGCTTGTTTATTTGGTTGTGATCTCTTTTGTTCGGATTGTGTGATTCGATCGTTTCCGCGCCGCGCACAACAATTGGTATCAGAGCTTCGGGTTCGACTTGAGGCTTGTTTGAAGGATTCGTTGAAGGATTCCTATTTGAAGAGTTAGATCAACAACATGGGTGAAGCAAGCACATCAGGATCGTCTCTTACGAAGACGATACATAGTTTGAGCATCAATAACATGAAGATCAATGTTCCGAAGTTTGATGATAAGATCAATTTCGGTTTGTGGAGGTGCCAGGTGATGGATGCGTTGGACGCTCAAAACTTGGAATAGACTCTTGAGTTACAAGAGAAACCTGCCAAGATGGAAGCTAAGGTTTGGAAGAAGATGAATAGTAAGGCGTGTGGAGTTATTCGGTCATGCTTGACGCCAGATCTTATTTATGATGTGATGAGCGAGACGTCGGCGAAGAAGATGTGGGAAACACTCAATGAAAAGTAACTTACTAAGAGCATTGAGAATCGAGGGGAGTTTCCATTAGGGAGCATGTTAATAACTTCACAAAGCTACTTTCAGACATGGCTAATGTGGATATCATGGTTGAGGATGAAGACAAGGCGATGCTACTTTTGTGTTCGTTGCCCGAGGATGATTATGGTACTTTTGTCCTAACTATGATTAATGGAAGAACTACTGTTAGTTACAAGGAGGTGACCTCAGCATTGGTGAATTATGAGTTGAGGAAGAATGTTGATGAGTCCTCCGAGAAGGCACCGGGAGATGCATTAGTAGTTCATGACCATGGTTCAAACCGAAGCAGGAGGTCGTAGTCTAGAGGTGCACATCGTGGGATTCGTAGGAATTAGTGTGCCTTTTGTAAAGAGGATGGGCATAGGAAAGCCGAATGCCCAAAGTTAGATCGAGCCGAGAAGAATAAGGGGAAAGCTGTACAAGCTTCAGAGGTGAATATTGTCAAGACTAGTGGCAACAATTCAGATTCGGATTCTTCGGTCTATTCACTGTCTTCACTTTCATCAGTTTGTGTTGCCAACTCTATTGAGTGGATGTTGGATTCGGGTGCTTCATACCACGTTTGCCCTAGGAGGGATTGGTTCTCCAGCTTTCAGAAGTTGGAAAGAGAGGATGTTGTGCTCATGTGTAATGGACATGCATGCTCTATTGGTGGTAATGATACCGTTCGTATTCGGATGTATGACCGAGTGATTCAGGAGTTGGAAGGAGTGAGGTTCGTTCCGCAGTTGTCGAAGAACATCATTTCACTAGGAGCTTTGGTGGTATCTGGCTATAAAGTGACCTTGGTGGATGCACGTTTGAAGGTCACATTCATTAGATTCGGCTAGACTGTGGCGTTGGTTGATGCTGGGTTATTTGATTGGTAATGCCGTGCATAGGTTGTTAAGGAGTGCTTTGACCTGCAGTTTGAAGTCCTGTGAACCCATTGGTATGAGCGAGAAGACCGAGGTGGAGTTTGGCACTTCTATCCATCATTCGAGGGGTTTTCTGAGGGGTGTTCATTCAGGCATTCGGGGGCCTTCCAAAGCAGCATCATTGGGAGGTAATAGGTATGTGGTTTTCGTAGTTGGGGATTGCACTAGGCATTGGTGGGTTGCAACCAAGTCTCGTTGGTGTGAAGTCCTAGAAGCCCGCAACAGATGGAGGAAGTGTGTTGGTAGAAAGATAACCCGACATTCTGATTATGGTAGGGGTTCTTTTTTACATTTATGCCGAGCTCACGGCAATAGGAGACACTTCATTGGTGTGGAAACTTTGAGGCAACAAGGCGAGATGGCAGATTTGGGCAGCTGTTCCTTTCTGGAGGAGGATCGGCGTTTGATGTCAAGAATTGGCATTAGTGTGCAGGCTACGACAGGTTTGGGCCGTCTCATGTATAGGTTGCCAACTGCTGCATGTAGAGATATAGGATCTGGTGGAGTTGCTTCAGATTTTGGGTTGCGTCGGATGTTTGGCTACCCAGCACCTGATCACATCGTGGATGTGAGATTTGATCCGATAGCACATTTGGGATTCAGAGACGTGTTTGATTATCAGGTATTAGCTTCTGACTTTGTTCTGAGTAGGTATGTCACGTTTGACTCTCGGCAAGTGGAGAGTGGTGATCAGATCTTTTGGGACATTGCAGCGGGTGGAGAGTGATGCTACTCCACGTTAGGTGGAAACTCCAGATCATACTGCATCATTTGGGATTCTAGCTGATATGACACAGATTGGGAATCATGTTGATTTGGATGCAGATGATAGGTTGATTGATTTGAGTACAGCTGATAGATGTAGTCTGGATATGGCCATTGGTTCATCTCAGGTGGAGATGTTTGGATTAGTTCAGTTTGAGGCCATTGGAGGTGTTATCAGCCGCAGACTTGATCGTGATGTTGGAGAAGGGTTGCGAACTCTTCTAGTGGATTAAGGCTTTTGGAGGCCATTTGGGTGAACTACGTTCGGCTTGATTCCTTGGGCAAGAGGATACGTAGGCAGTGTTTCAGATGCAGCCGGTTTGATCAGTTGATTCAGATGGGGGGAGATCGCGTTTCAGCCCTAGTTTAGTTCCCTGACTTGTTGAGGGACTATTGGATGACTTGGTGTCGGCTCAGTTTTTAGTGGAAACATTCGCCGAGGTGGAGAATTGAAGAAATGCAGTAAACAGCAAAGGATCAGCCAGAAAGTCTGGCGGTCGACCGCTGCGGTCGACCGCGAACGTGCACGAAGGGCAGTAGGATTCGGAGCTGATGGCGGTCGACCGCCGTGGTCGACCGCGGATGACTATAATCGATTTTTACTCTCGGGTTTGTTCGGCCGACCGCCGCGGTCGACCGCGAAACCTGCGCGGTCGACCACCGCGGTCGACCGCAGTCTGTTTGGGCTGGGCCTTTTGGATTTTGACCCGTTTCGTTTTTGAGTTATATATAACTCAAAACCTGATTGTTTAGGGTAACTCAAGGATGATTTTGAGCAGCCTTGAAGAGAGAATTGTTGCATCCAATTGTGGGAGAGTTGTGAGAGATCTAGAGCTTTGTTTTAGGGTTTGATCGGTGAGATTTGTAACTCTATTTGTATTCTCTTGATTTCTTATAGTAAGAACTCCCCCCTCCTTGCCCCGTGGACGTAGGTAACTTGCCGAACTACGTAAATCTCTTGTGTTATTTGGTGATTGTGCTTGTTTATTTGGTTGTGATCTCTCTTGTTCGGATTGTGTGATTCGACCGCTTCTGCACTGTGCACAACAGGATCATCCCAAGATATCGAAACAAAAGCTAATATAAGACGAAAACATAAGGTTCGACTAAGAGTTTGTCCTTGATAATGCAGGATGCTGGCCACACTGCAGCAGAGTATATGCCGAAGAGTTGCTTCATGATGCTTGATAGATTGATATCCCATGAGCCTCTATAATTTAGTCAAATGGACATAGGGAGTTCTATAGAAGCAATGCATAACTGTTACTGTCAGATTCTATTTACTACAGAAAGTGTTCACATCAGAATACAAAAATTGAAGACAAGGTTGAAATATTTACGAAAGATCGAAAAGAGCACTAAAGTTGATATCTTATATATGTGTTTAAATTATATACGCTTCTTTGCCATGCTAGATCTAAACCAAAACTTAAGATCAAAAAAACATATAGCCATGATTAATTCAAAGAGATTAACAAGAATCATAAATGAGCGGAAGCTTATACCTGAATCCATAGAAGAAAACTTGATTTGGGTTTTTGATGATCTTCTAACCTTAGGGTTCCTCTAAATCCGAATTTCTCTTACTAGATGGGGGTGTAGAGAATTAGATAATGTAACCCTAGGTTAGGGACCATAACTCATTATTTATAGATGTTATACATTTGTAATTTGGTCCCTCAACAAATTACAATTACAACCTGGT